CCAGCACCAGGCACTGGGAGCAGCATAAGGATCAAATGTTAATTGCAGTTTTCGAGCCATAATTAGAGATCCTCATTGTCTAATGTGTCACGGCATTTAGCAACCGAAAGCCAGACCCGGGACGGGACGGGACGGGACGGGACTCGCCCGCAAAACCAGCTAAACAAATGCACAAGTAGCCGGGGATGAAAGAAATATCTTGGCAAAGCGCAGCCGAGCCAAGCAAAAAGCCAGGAGCGGAATGGGTCTAAGAGAGTTTCTTCCCAGAAAAAAACTTAGATCTTAGATATTGCTACTTCAGGAGTTGTATTTGATTGGTGCCTCAGGAGGGGACTGCTCGATGGAAAGCCTCTCAAAGCTCAATGCTGACTCAATTGGGTTTTCCCAAGATTCTGCGCCATTAATAGCTTTCCGGAACCCTTTAGTTTTCCCCTAAGAGCCTCTTCCTTGGCATACTCCGCTTCTGAAAGGGAAGAGAGCCTCTGACCTGTCAAAGATCTTCTAAGAATCGTGTCGATTTCCTTCAGAGGCTAGAGTCCGCTCCTGTGTTGGCTCCCGGGCCGCCTCCCCTCTTCACACCAAGTTCAACAGCACGCCCTCGAAATGTGAATGACCTCGAATGTCACGTTATGGCAGCGCATGAAAGGAATGGGCGTGGACGTGGGGCAAGGAAGCGTTTGAGGGGGGCAGGAGTCCTGGCAGTTCGTCACATTGCATATCGCAGCAGCAGGAGGCCAAGATTATGCAGCTTCTGGCTCTGCCGACTGCTATTTTATGAAACAAAAACAGGGCTGCAGCAGCAGAGGGTCTGGGGCCTGTTTGGGCTTTGTGCAAGGACCTGGCAGCATTGTCCAAGGCACTGCAGAAGGAGCCAGCAACCAGGAGCTTAAGTCCAAAGCATGCAGAGCATAATCAGCTTCATCATCAGCAGCAACAGCAGCTGAAACAGCAACATCAACAAGCAGTAGGCAGAATGAAAGAAGGAAGGTCCTTTAGTGTCACAGTCAGCAGAAGGAGACGGAGATGGAGATGGAGGAGCAACCAGCACCAGTAGTCGAATCAGCAGCAGAATCATCAGCAATGGCAGTCCGCCTGTCCGCCCGTCCGTCTCTCCGCCTGTCGGCCTGTCCGCCTGGTCGCCTGGCAATGGGAAAGAAACAAAGCGCCTGCAGCTGCCAGGACCTGAACCTCGACGAGGACATGGGCATGGACAAGGAAGGCTGTCGTTGATCTTTTGCTGATAACTTTGGCTTTTTGAGCTGCACAAAAAGAGCTCTAAGGACAGAGAGAGAGAGAGAGACAGAGAGAGAGATGTTGTTGAGGAAGTGGCAAGTGTCACATAGGCAACACGTAATACAAAAGCCCCACCACAACGAAGTTGCCAACCAGCAACGCAGCTTAATTATTTTCCTACTTTGCAAATGAGATGCAAAATCCAGATACAATTCTTTGCTTCTTGCCATTCAATCGGAGCGAAGCATGCCCCTATTTTCGTGCAGTGTAAGTCTCTGAAAACACATTCAAGTTCTCAATTTCGAGTCATTTTCCTGTTTTTCCAGCTTGTTTAGTCAAACGAAAGTCAAGTTGCTGAAGCTCAGTGCTCCACCATCTGATGTGCCTCTGACTCTGACCTAAGCAAATACACTTTACACTCGCACACAGATACTGACTCTTGCACACACTCACACCGCATACACGCATTCAGGGCGTGTATTCCGCTTTGTTGCGCACACAGACAGATGAAGAATCCGCCATCGTTGCCGTTGCCGTTGCCGTTGCCGTTTCAGCCTTCGACAGCGCATTAGTCGGGGCTTTTAAGCAGAAAAATGCGTGCACTTGAGGCGCCCCCTGAACCAGAGAGGTAGGACTCTTTCTACGCTGGTTCCGCCCTGGAAGCCCCTAGACGTCCCGAGATTCCCCTTCTTCGTGTTCTTCTGAACCCCAGAAGTCCTGGGTCAGCCGAAAAGTATGCAGTGGGGGTGCTCTAAAAGCGGCGCCGCTCTTAATACTAAACGTTGCCTTCTTTTCGGCTGACTCAATCAAATGTACCCGTGTCCCACGTCCTAGGACCATGGGGAGAAACGTGTCTATTTGTCAGGCCCTTGCTTTTCAGAGCGAAAACTGTCTCTCACGGCATATGCAAATCAGCTTTAATGCTGCCTTTGTTGTTGTTGTTGTTGTTGTTGTTGTTCTTGAAAACGCTTTTCTCTTTCTGGAAATTGCCTTTAAATTGTGTTTGCAGGGAAAAGTTTTTCCTGATTTAGCTGCAGAGCGGCAGAGCGGCAGAGCAGCAGAACTTCATTATTGTTTACAAACATTTTTCAAAAAGAATTTTCTACTCGTTTAGACCCGGCCAAGAGAGCCAAAGCGGAACGAAACGACAACGTAATGTGAATTAAATTCAGGAGCAGAGTAGTCAGGAGTGTACTGCTTTTCTGTTTCTGTTTTTCATTTAGCACTGATTTTCTTCTTAATTAAACAGGACGCGTCGGCGGGGGCGGTCGCAGAGAGGGCGGGCCGTAATACACTTGGGGAAAACTTGGGAAATCAAATGATGGCCCGAAGAAGGGGTTCCCTCAAAGGAGTTCTTTTCTCTTTTTGGGGATGGGGATGGGGATGGGGATGGGGATGGGGGGTAGGGGAAATGGATGGGATGAGATGAGATGAGATGCAATCCCCACTTGACTTTTATTTTTCTCTGTGTACCTTTTTCGAAGGCGGAGTCGCGTTTCTTTTGTCGGGGCTGCCACTGCTCATTTGCATTTCTGTCTGTCAACTGTTCTTTTCTTCCACTTTTCGCTATATTTCAGCCCTCTGCGGGCTGCTTTCCTTCACTTCCTTTTCAGAGCATCACGGGGAAATTTTAATGATCCGTGATAATGATGCAATGCCTGCCGTTGGCATTGCTAGTTTTCATTTAGTTTTCTCTCCCACTTGTCCTGCCCCTTCTCCAGTCATTTCCCTCTGTGTCTTGCACACATTTCTTTTGCGCGTAATTGATTTTAGCTGAAGGGAAGTGTGCGCAGCACTTACATTAATAAGCTGCCGCTTTTCCAGCAGCTCCACCAGCACCAGCACCAGCACCAGCAGTAGCCTCGAACCGGATCGGACCGGACCGGACCGAGCCGAACCGAACCGAACCGAACCGAACCGAACTCTCCCTCTCTCCTTGTATCTGGTGCTGTCTTTTGATTGACAACACTGACAAATGGCAAGGAGAGTGCATCGAGGGATGTGGCATTCAGGGATGGGGTAGATGTGGCAGCCTCATTGAGTTTATCAGTCAGCCATTGTGCGGCAGAGCATCATCATCGAGCAGAGCAGGAGCAGTAGATAGAACAGTAGTGGATGGCATCAGTAGATGGCAGCAGGAACCAAACCCCTACCCATTGGGGACCCATTGAAATGTGGGACATTTCGACGACAGTTCTCCCCAGTTGTTTTCCCCGGCTGAGGCGGAAAACTCATCTCGAACTCCCTCTAATTAGCTGCAACTTGTCTCTGCGCCTAAGACAAAGTTTTAATTGAAATCCTACCTGCAAATCTCGAATCAACTCAAGACTCAACCACATTTCGCCGCATTCCATACATTCCCCCCATTTGCCGTTTGCCATTTGCCATTAAGTTTATATAGAAATAAAAAGACATCCCATCTCTCTCGATGGATAATTAAATTTTCATTAGAGCGTGTCTGGCGGTGGAAAGTTTTCCCACTTTCCCACTTTCCCACTTTTCCACTGGAAGAAGAAGGTGGAGCGGAGTGGAGTGGAGTGGCTAGTGGAAAAACTTTATCTTAAGTGACTTAAAAACTAAAACTGCAAATTTAATGCGCTCCCCCGTCGTCGTCATGTGGCACATCCTACAACTTGCGGCCAACACTTTTTACTTGCCACAAACATTTTGCTTTTCTTTTTCCCCCAGCTTTTCCGTTTCCCCCCAGTTTTTGCGGCGCATATCCTTTGGGCATTGCAGTTGACAGCAGAAGCCTCCGCAACGAAAGTGGCACAAAGTTTGCTACACTTTGGGGTTCGTGCCCCTTGCCACTATCCCTCTTGCAGCACGGCTGTCGTTATCTCTCGCCTAATGCCTTTTTGACAAAACAATTTTTCATATTATTACACGACTGTGGCGTCCAGGCATGGGCTGGGGACAGCGGCAGGGGCAGGGACTGAAAATTGCTTACAAATTTTGTGTTGCATGCACTGCGACGGCTCGGCTGCCACAAGGACACCAGGACACCAGGACACCACGACTCTGAGAACCATGCGACCATGTGACTTGCCTCTCTCTTTGGAGAATGGAAACAAAGATCTTCTGCTGCGCTGCTGCTTCGTGACTTATTCATGCCGTCGCCGTCGTTAGAGGCTCCACTGTGGCTCCGAGTGGAAATTCCGGACAGAAGACAAAGCCTTAAGCTGTCCAGAGTCCAGAGCTTCTCCCATCTCCAGCCTCCCCCAGGGGCCTTGTGAATAATAAATAAAATATAAAAGCCGCATCAAAAGCAATTTTAAAGCATGCCCGAAAAATTATGCAATGCTTGCCACACGGGCGAATCAATTACAGGAGGGTTTCTGTGGTCAGAAGCTGCTCGACAGCCGGCAGCCACACAATGGCCGGCAGGTAAAAAGCAATTGTCTCCAGAGCCTTTGTTGTGGTCCACGACGATAGCTCATTAAAATTTAGGCCAGGCCCAAAAGCCAGAGAGAAGGCCATCTACCAGTAGAGAAAGCCAGTGAAAGCCAGAGAGCCGCTGGCATCGACTGGTACTTAATTTTCGGGGCGCAAAACTTTTTGGTCTAACAAAAATTGAAATTAACTTTGGTCGCTCGAGCGGCACGGCGGCGTCCCAGTCCCAGTCCTAGTCTCCATCCCAATCCCCATCCCCGTGTCCGCCTACCCTGTCCCAACAAAAAGAACCACCACATTTAATTAAAAATTTAAAATTAACTGAAATTTCTCTCTCATTTCTCGCCATTCCTCCTCATTGCTTTCTCCGTGCAGCTGAGACGAGCCAAATTGTGAATGGACTGGATCTGCAGGGACCGATATTTCTCCATGAGCCACCGCATCGCGTCGAGTTCTCAAATAATTCGGGAGGCCTCATAGAGTGCTCCGGCCATGGCAGTCCACCGCCAGAGGTAAGAACCCCGTCTGCCCTCCTGCCCTCCTGCCCTCCTGCCCACCTGGCCCTCCATTTTGCCATCGTCCCATCTTCCCATCTTAATATTGCTGTTTAATTATGCATGGCAGTGGTGCCACATTTCCCTTCTCCTGCTGCTCATTTCCAAGTTAATTGACAGGCCGACAACAACAACAAAAACCAGAACAAGAGCAGCAAACACAACAAACAAATGCCTCTCCTTTCTCTGCTTGTTTCCAGGTGGAGTGGACACCCATACCCCCCCAGCAGGATATGGTATTCCAGCTATCGAATGGCAGCATGATGTTCTATCCCTTCACCGCCGAAAAGTATCGCCACGAGGTCCATGCCACTGTCTACAGGTAAGTAATGCTCGACTACTCGTGTATTGATTACCATTTTGTGGCAAAATGTGCTTAATCCTTAATGCTTTATCCTTTATCCTCTACCCTCTATCCATTTCCACTTTCTGCTTTCTGCTTTCTGCTTTCTGGAATCCTGCCTGCAGATGCAAGCTCCGCAATCTCGTGGGCACTGTCCTCAGTCGGGAGGTTCATGTACGCGGCGGTAAGTCGAAATAAATTTTAATTAATTTAGGAAAAAATACACACACACACACACACACACACACACAACACGAACGAACGAACATTCGTGAATTTACAGCCACTGAAAGTTGATTTGTGCTGACGAAGTGAGTTTTCTGGCTTTCATCGCTTCTGTCGCTTGTTGTGGTTGTTGCTGGGGAAAACTTTGGCCTAATTGGAAAGTTTTTCGCGCTGGCCTCCGTCTCCCGGCAGCGGCAGCTCCAGCTCCAGCCCCAGCCCCACGTCGCACGTCCTGCGCCCAATTTCCGTCCTCCTCTCTCCTTCCCTGTGGAACGCCTAAAAGCAGTCAACGCAAGTTTTAATTACTATTGCTGCTGGCAAATGCCTGTCGACCAGGCGCCTGCCTGGCACTGCCCTCCAGTTTTTCTTCCTCGAAAAATGTTCGGGGAAATGTGGAAAAAAATGTAGTGCTCGACGCTAATTTGGCGCCTTAGTGTGTGAGAATTGACTTCGACTGGATGAGGGGAGCTTATACACTGCATTTTGGAGCGGGTATGTGGCGTATGTTATAGCCGCAAATCCAGATATGTGGAGATCGTTTTTGGATCCATAGGGTCCGTCTTAAGCTCTTTCCTCATCCATTAAACACAACTCACCGAAGATATAGGTCAACTATGCGTACTTTCGTGGGTACAAATCACCATAGCCTTTCCTTTTTACATCCCAAACCAACTCTACTCTTGCCCCCCATTCTAGCCCCGCTGCCTTAGCCCCACTGGCTCACACAAAAACTTTGCCTATTCTTTTGCTAAACTGCATTAATGAACTCTGAACTCTGGGGAGACCCGGCGGCGCAATCATTTTGATTGCCATCACATGTCGCATAGATTTTGCGGCTCATTGGGCTTTCATTTCAAGCGAAGAAAGCAAGAGAAATGGTTCTAGGGATAGCAATGGAACCAACAACAATTAGCAATGACCATAAAAGATATGCCATATAAATGGGTGTTTTCGCCAGAGACCAAAGGCTAATCCTCAAAGGGCCCACTTGAGTTTTGGGGGATGGCCTTTAATTAACAGGAGGATGGGAGGGAGCAGGAGCAGGAGAAGGAGTAGCACTGGCCAGGAATGGACGAAAAAAAAGGGGAATCCTGACAGATAAAGACAGAACCAAAGGGAGAGAGAGAGAGAGACCAAAGAGAAGTCAGCTCAAAGCAAAACAAATAGCACAAAGTCGCAGCCGCAAAAAAATCTAAGATAGAGAGAGTTTCACTCACGCACACACTGGCCCCACAAGCGGACACACACACATGCGTAGGGTTTTTCATGCAAAAGTTCCGGCAAAATGTCCGGCAGCCATTTTTCAACAGCTAACTCTGCAACGTTACGTATACGCCATGTCCATGTCCGCTGGCTTATTTTATTTGCGGTCTCCCCTTCATCCTTCACCGTTCACCCTTCACCCTTCACCCTTCAGCCCTCACTCTCTTTGGCTCTCTGTCTCCTTTGCAGTCTTTGTTTTTCCTTCGTTTTTATGTGTGCTAGAAATTGTTTCAGCCGCTCCACCCCCCCAAATGCCTAGCGCTCTTTCTCCACATTCCTTTGCGTGGAGGGTGTCTCGTGGAGAGCTTTCCGCTTGAACAATTTGACAGCGCGTAGATTTGGCGCAAAACGTTTTGCCTAATTTGGGGAAAAGTTCTTGGAGGGAATCTGCGATCTGCGATGGCCACGGACTAGGACTAGGACTGGGACTAGCAGTAGAGGGCCCGGACCAGGGCCATGGCCAGTAATTTTGTTGCTAATGTGGGACCCTGCCATCGCGTTGCCACATTTAATTGCCGGCGCTTAAGTTGATGTGGCGCAGGACCTGCCTTTTGTTGCCTTTCGTAATTAGCGCAACTTTGAGGCAAAAACTCTTGACAAATTCCCCCCCTATATATAATTCAGCTCAAGCTTAAACGCAATTGCTGGCATTTGGTTTTGTCAGGCCAAAAGGAACACATCCTCATTCTCGTCCTCGTCCTCATCCTCGTACTCATCTTCGGAGAGGGAAGGAGTAGAGAACTTTTCTTGACAGTGATGAATGGATGCTGGGAGCCACAAAGTTGCCGCAGCAACACGACTTTTCAGCGCTGACTTTTCCCTGCACTTTTGCATTTCATCAAACAAAAGCACACACACACACACACACACACACATCTATGCCTAAGGTGCATACCACTGAATCCTTGGAAGATTCACTATGTCCCCGTGTGTGTGTTTGTGTGTGTGAGCGAGGAAAGTTTTGTGATTGAGCTAGAAAAGTTTCCATAGTTTCCTTAGTTTTGCATGGGGCTGCCACAGCCACAGCCGCTGGCTGCTTGTGTATGAAACCTGCGTAATTTGTTTCTAATTAGTTGAATGCACATTGTTGAAGATGCCCCTCGAGCTGCTCGAGCTGCTCGAGCAATGAGCAGACAGACTGCCGAACAGGATATGCACCTCAAGGAGTTTTGCATACGCTGGAAAATGTCAGGTTCTGTTCTGCCGCTGTTTCACTTCAATCAGATGATAATTTAATAGTACCCGGAGTCCTTTCTAAAAATAAGTACGAAAATCCTCACAATAGCTTAAAATCAGCGAAAGACTGGAAGCATCCATCCGGCAGGCACATCATAAGCATAAATCCACATCCCTTTCTCGTTTGTTTTTTTGTTTTTTGTTTTTTGGAGATGGGAGGAACAACTTTCACATACACAAAAACAAAACGGAAATGAATTTCCGCATAAAATCCGAGTGCAGCGCATCTCTCTCTCTCTTTCTCGTTCCCGCTCCCGTTCCCGTTCTCGTTCTCGGTCTCTATTCTCTTAGTTTGTGCTGCGGCGACTATAAACTTAGCTTTCATACTTACTTTCCTGCCCAGCTGTCCTGTTCCTGTCCCGTCTGTCTGTCTGCTTCTCAGTCTGTCTCTTTGTCCTTTTCTGCTGCTGCGCAACATTGTTTGGGTCCTGGTTCTGGTCCTGCCTCACCATACCACACTCCATGGGCTGTCCTTCAGTTTGGAAATTTTCATGCAAAATGCAACATGAAAGGCGAAAAAAACTTTGCCACTGCCACTGCTAAAAATAGAAAACTTTTGCACCAAAAAAAAAAGAAAGAAAAGCATGACTGCCATTTGGGATCGAAGCATTTGATACCCTTGAAGGTCGATTGTTCAGATATTTGTATGGAATATAGTCGGACGACATTTATTAAACGAAATGCGGTATAAATGAGAGCCATGCAACCGCCGCTTAACAATTGTTCGTGAAAGTAAAATGTGATATATGTAGTACACGGATCTTAGGAGCTTAAACAGCTTAAAAACTGAAGAGCAGATCTCAGCGCTATTGCCCTCTAAAAAATTCCGAAATAATTGTCAGGCTGTAAGGGTATAAGGTATCGTAAGAAGGAATGGGGCTTGGGGCGAGAGCTACAGCTCTAGGCTAGGACTCAGGACTCAGGACTCAGGACTCAGGACTCCCTTCAATACAAATAATGAAGATAAAACAACAAAATTGTACTAAACTACACTGGAAATAGCAGAACAGCGCAGCAGTTGTGGCAGTGGCAGTGGCAGTAGCAGGAGCATTGGCCAGAGGAATTATAATAAAATGTTGTCACAAAGTTTCACCAACAAAAAATAAAACGGCAACAGAGTCGAATGCGGACAATAACAACAACTTTTCAAATTAAACTTTTATCCAATTTTTGAGAATCTTAAAGTTACGCCAACCAAATGCCACAAACCAGGAACAAAAACCGAAAAAATGGCCAAGCCATGCAAATTTAGTACTCGGATTTCCAATGGGAGTAGTCGAGGATCTAGGGAAATGGGGACTGGGGCACTGACGGATTGCGGGGCGAGATTTGCCCTAATCTATTTACTATTAGAGCCCCCCTTTGAACGAAGTGCTTGAACAATGGAACGCACTCTACGCACAACAGTTGAAAATTGCCTTTGTCCGTCTTAATTAATTTTCCAAATGCCATCAGCCATCAACCATCAACCATCAACCGGCAGCTTCTGGAGCCGCCGAATGCTCGGAACGCATTGCAAAATCATGGACCAAGGTGGACACTGGTCCGGAAAAAGAAAAAAAACGAGGAGGAACGGTGTGAGCCGCAGCTACGGCTGCGACTCTACCTTTATAGCCGATACTCAGTCAGTAGGGCTCCCCTCCGCCAGAGGGCGCACACATTTCACCACGAAGAGTGTGTGGGAGAGAGAGAAGGAAAATGAGTCGGAAGCCTGCTAGATATCGTCATTCTCTACGAGACTATAAAAGCTAGAGAAACCAAATTTTGTATCCATTTTTCGTATAAATGAAGAGATGCGGCCGTAGCAGCTACTTACAAAGTTCCCCCTCGTTGTTCATTGAAATATCTGAGACCTATGAAACTGAGGCGAAGCTATATAGTTCTTTACCTGTTAAAAGTTATTCCCAAGAAACACTCTACTGTAAAAAGTTTCCCAGCTTCCCTCTGAAACCCTGCTTTCATTGATTCTTAAACCACTGTGGCCTGCCTTTGGCTCGCTTGTGCCATTGTTAGGGGATCCTTGTCATTCTTAATTTGGAGCCGAGCGCTCGGCATTGGACAGCGGAGAAAGGCCAACAGAACAAAAAATCTTTAACTCAAATTGCCAAATCCAATTTTTTACCGACCTTGTCGACCGTCCCCCGCGGACCTTCCCCCGTACGAGAGCCTGCCAGCCTGCCAGCCTGCCTGCCTGCCTGCCTGCCTGCCTGACAAACGGCAACACTTTTGTTAAGTGTCACAAAATGTTGGACCCAGCTGAGGGAGTGCGGCTGGGGGCAAAAGCCGGAATTTAATGTGCCACACATATTTTTGCTGCTGTCGTAGCCCTTTTTATGGACATTAAAAATGAAAATACACAGACAAAAAAACTCCAGACCAAAGCCAAATACGAAAATAACCTTTTGGCTAATAAAAGCCAATGGCACAGGGGTCTAAACGTAATTTGTTTGCTCTGTTCCGTTACGTTCCGTTCCGTTCCGTTCCGTCCCGTTCAGTTCCGGTGTGTGCCCTTGAACCTTGACTTGTGTCAACGCTGCTTAGGCGCAATAATTCAGAAACATTTGCCCTCCTCTATTGCCCTCCTCCCACGATAGAAGATAAAAGCTCGAGCAATTTACATAAAAAATATGCTTTTTAATTCGTTCCAGTCGTCAACCAGAAGTACACGGTCCAGGTGCACGACGAGTACGTGATGACGGGGAATACGGCGGTGCTAAAGTGTCAGGTAAGCGTCAGCAAGTGCCAGAGCTCCTGCAGCCTGGAGTCTGGAGCCTGGAGCCTGGCGGCTCCGAGTGAAAGTGTTTTGATCTGCATTCCCACTCCGATTGCGCCACAAAATTCACTTAGCAGATAAATCTCATTTTGATAGCCCAACCAGGGCTCGTCCTGTCATCAAATTTGGTTATCCCACGCCCTGAGGCGGGGTTCTGCTGACTCCTTCTGCAACTGCTACTCCTACTCCTACCCCATCGATTCGCTCTGTCTATATATCCTGTTTATTATTACACCACCATTGCCATCGCCATCGCCACCACCAGGTACCCAGCTACATGTCGGAATTTGTAATGGTCACCGCCTGGGTGCAGGACACGGGCATGCATCTGTATCCGAACACGGACATCGGCGGCAAGTACACGGTGCTATCGAACGGCGAGCTGTACATAAATAATGCGGGGCCCAATGATGCGTACAAAACCTACACATGCCGCACTGTAAATAGACTGACAGGTACGTGATAATCGCATTTCGTAGGTTAATCGTCCGGCTGAGCGATGCATGAATACGCCACGCCGCTGACTACGTAGAGTCAGGACGCTGTAGCCAGAAACAGAGTCCAGGATCCAGGGTCCAGGGTCCAGGGATCCTGTACTGCTGGTTCCAGCTATAATTACGTTGAATAAATAAGCAATGAACAGCATTTTGACCAGGGAGGCGTGTGGGGATGTGCGTGTGGACCACCTGACCGGGTCAATTAAAGAGATTTCAGCAACACCCCCTATCCTATTAAATCGAAAGCTTCTTATGGTCATAATGTTGGCCACAGATGGAACATTTATCTTTGGCATAATTCCCATTGAAATTTAATTGCCTGGCCAGAGAAAGATAGTTTTCGCTTCGCTCCTTGCCCCAGAGGAAGGTATAGTTTTCCCCCCAATTTTAGCCAGAGAATGAAACAGTTTTTCCCCCTCTTTAAGCCTCAAAAACATATAGTTTGATCCCCTCTATCTCTCTGTCTCTCTGTGTCTCTGTCTCTTGGCCGAAAGTCAATTTGTCGTTTTGTGCATAATTTATGATGCGTGACATTCAATCGCCGGTCGGAAAAAGGGCATTGAGCTTTTCCCTGAGGACTTTTGCTTGAAAATGCTTTTGCTGTTTCCAGCAACGCACACATAAAAGATGTCTGTGATGTCTACAGTCAATACGTGAGAGATCTTAGGAGATACATACATATGTACCAACACATATGAAATTCCATGTGTGTCTGCTGGCTTATTTGAAGTTTATTGTGTGTGAAAATGCGCTTAAGCTGAATTTCTATTAGCCTTTGTGCCGCATATTTCACATCATCAATCAACACGATAAAAGTTCGAAATTCCCCCCAGTTCGGAGTTTTACGTTACCTTTTTCCGCTCCCTTTTCTTTTCTTTTCTTTTCTTTTCTCTTCCGTTCCGCTCCATTCCTTTCAATCTTTGCCGTATGTGCGAGGGAGATTGTATCTGTAAATGTTTGCATTGTTTGCTTGTCGTTTATTTGCAGTTCATTTCTCGGTATGCATCTTGAAAGTTGAATTTATACATTTTCCTGCTACATTTTCAGGTGGTGGCTGCCATTTGCGGTTGCCATTTCCCCCAATACCATCTCCATCTCCACCACCACCGCCACCACCGGCACCACCGGCACCACCGCCACCACCACCACATGCACATCCACTTGCACATCTACATGCACATCCACATCCACATCCACATGCACATCCTATTTTCGCCTGTTGTTTGCCTAATTAATCAAATTGAATTGAGCCACAAAAACCGCAAGTTGCACTACAGTTTTGGCCGTAAAAGCAGCGGGAAATATGAGCTGCATATTAATTGGGGGGGAGTTGGTAGTCGGCTGCAACAGCAAACAACAATGCCACCTGCCACTCCATGGCAACCACTGGAGCAGCCACTGGGCTTCGAGTGCCACTCATTAAAAGTGTAACATGAGCCGTGGGTTCGTTACGGCCATGGACTGGCATCGAGGATGATGTTTGGCGGAGTATTCATGACTAATTCATTTATCGCACAGACCAGAGCGCTGAGGGCTCTCTCCCTCTCCCTGTCCCTCTCCCTGTCGCTCTCCCTGTCCCTCTCCCTGTCCCCCTCCCTGTCCGTCTCTCTGTCTTTCCCGCATAATTACAATTTAAACCCAAAAATCCATTTATTTAGCCAACAATGAAGCGAAGCCAAAAACACAATGCAAAACCCAAGGCCCAAACCCGAATGTGGAACAATGGAAGCCATAATGAAGCTATCCGAATAGTTGAAAATTGAATTAGTTTTCGCTCTGCATAACATATACAGGACTTCCTTATGGCTGGGACGGGGCCAGAGTTTTGCTGTGATTTGGAGGCCACAGAAAAAGGATGTTCGGGAAAGAAATACAAGGAAATATTAAAGTCCTGTGATGTGATGGCAGGTGCTTCCCTCTGTCCAAGCAATCAACTTGATTGCTTTCATTTTCTTTCAATTAATTAAAAATATACTGTACCTACACCTACCTACATACCTTTGTACATATGTATATATGCAAAAAGTAAACACATTGAGGTTAAGCGATGGTCCGCAGGATTTGCACCATAAATTCAGTGGCACGAGCCCGCCTTAAATCTAAGTAAATGCCACTGGGGCAGGGGGGGCCACATCACTTGAGTCTTTCTATACCCGACACTCAAAATTAGTACAGGGTATATTCGATTTGTGGGGAAAGTGGATGTGTGCAACGCCCGGAAGGAAGCGTTTCCGACCCCATAAGGGATATACATATATTCTTGATCAGCATCAATAGCGGAGTCAATTGGGCCATGCCTGTCTGTCCATCTGCCCATCTGTCCGTCCCGATGAGCGCCTAGATCTGAGAGACTATATCTGGCATATTCCGCATCTGGATCAGATCGGATAGCAAATGTTGTGGCTTTACAACGCCGCGGCGTCCATGCGTTTACTCATTTCTCATTTTCTATCTCTCTCTCTCTCTCACACATTCTTTGTAGTGCAGTGTATGTGCCCTCTGGTGGAGGGGAGCCATGCTGACTTAGTTTCGGGCTATAAATGTAGAGTCGCGGCCTTAGCTGCGGCTCACAACGTTCCCCCTCGTTTTCGCATATTTTTCAACCTTCTCCCTCTCTCTCTCTCTCTCTTCCTCTCTCTCTCCTGCTTCCCCACTCCGCGGCACACACAGGTGAAATACAAATTTCAACATATCCTGGCCGCATTATTGTAACGGAGCCCAAGGGCATGGTACAGCCGCGCATCAACGTGGAGAAGCATTCGATGCGGCATGTTGTCCTTAATGGCCAAACAACGTTGCCGTGCATAGCTCAAGGACATCCGGTGCCAACATATCGGTGAGTAGCAGTAGCAGTAGCAGTAGCATGCAACACACAAAACACACACACCACACACACACCACACCACACCACACAACACCGAAAAAATCCAACAAAAATATCGCGACAACAGCTTGAAACACGTGGCCATGTCACAGGACACAGCTGTGGCCGTGACTGGTCCTGGGAGATGGAGTGGGAGTGGGAATGGGAATGGGAATGGGAATGGCCATGGGGGTACGGGGCTGAAGGACGAGTCGGAGTCCCGTCACGGGGCCATGCTCGGTCTCCATCCAGACCCCATCTCAAAACCGAACCCAGAACCGCAGTTGGCGCGCACTTTATGACAATGTGAAATATTTAACGCTTTTCCCAAAAAATCCACAATAAATGAGGAAGTAAATCTGGGCCGCAGCGCCGAATCGCTTGATACCCTTAAAGATTGAGAGGTCGTGTGGAGACGCTGGAATATATGAGCTTTGATTCTATGATTGTGATGGATGTAAATATTGTATTAGGACCCCAGTGAGCAGTATTTTACCGGGACTATATTCAAAAACGAATTAGTTTTTCTCACAAAGACTTCGATTTCCCCCGACTGTTTTCATAAAAAAAGCATGTTTTATTGTTCTGAGGGTATAGTTTTCAGAAACCCAGACAGTTGATAGAAGGACCCGCATTGTGTGTCTGACGATACAGGGCTGTTAATGCTTTTCAGGAATACATATATCTTTAAAAGGTCTTAGATGGGGCAAGGATTTCGTCGTAATCAAAATACCTTTTGCAAGGGATTGGCGCACACAACAAGCGGAAGCCAACTAAAACGAGAAACGAAAAAATAAATGCAAAAAAATAGAATCATAATAAAAATGTCAGCCAAATTGTCGAAAAATGTGGGGCGCACGGCGGCAGGGTAAATGCCCCATTGGCCTCCGCATAGAGAGTGGCCATTGGAGGTCCTTCGGGCCTCTCTATGCGATTCCCATGGGATACGGTCACCGGGAGGTAGATCTTGGCTGAGGCGCAGGATGAAGGATCAGCCAAGGCGAAGAGATTGCCAACGAAGTTTACCAAGGAATTCCTCAAACTCGATCTACCTTGACAAACTTTGAACCATAACTTCAAACTCTTCTGAGCCCAAGAACTATCCTCGGGACGCTGGAACGCCCAACCCCCCCGCTGTCTGGAGGGGCAAGGTGAACAAATGCCACTCGACTCTGCCCCGCTATGTGTTGTTTATTGAGGCACTCAGAGAGGCGTTAGTCTTGACTTGGCATTCGTTTGAGATGGGATGGGATGGAATGGGCCTCCGCCTCCCCGCGCCATGTCACAGTCATACACAAATCAATCAAATGCTGTGAAACGTTTATGGCCGAAAATGGCAAATTGCTTTCTGAAATGTCGCTCAAGTTTTTTAGTACTCCAAAGAAAGGAAGAAAGGAAGAAAGGAGCTGTAGCAGGAGCCAGGAGCCAGAAGCAGGCCACACCAGGAAGGACTATCACTGGACTGAACGGCCACTTTGGCACTGGGCTCATCATGGGAGATTTTCAAGTACTAAAACATGCATGAAAGATGGGGATCTGGGATCTGGGATCTGGGATCTGAGTAGGAGAGTGTGTGTCCTTGCTTTCGCCGGACGAAAAGGATGCCATGTAATATGCCATTGTAGCACGTGTCTGCTCTCTGTCTCTCTCACGGTGTCTCTGTGTTCTGCTCCAGCTTCTCTGTCCTTCGTGGTGCATGCATAAAAAATGCGCCCAGGATATGCCACATCGCAGCGACTGGCTTTCATTTAATGTCTCCCGCTGTGCCATGCCGTTGCGCGCTCTGCCTCACTAAAAAAAAACGCTCCAAAAGAATGCTGGAGCAGCAGAGCAGCGGCAGCGGCTGCCGGATGGCAGAGGGTTTTGTGAGGCGCTGAGTTTTCTTTTCCGCTGCACTGTTTTCCCGACCTGCAGGTCGGTCCCGGTCCCGGTCCCGGTCCCAGGCTGCTGTTGTTGTTGTCTTTTTGTTGTGTTTTCCTCCTGCTGATGCTGTTGGTTTCCCTTTTCCTTTTGCTTTTCCTCATAAATGTGAAAATAGTTGAAACTTTGGGGGTTCCATTCTGCTGCCATCTCTCTCTTTCTGTGTCTCTAGAAATATTTGAAATCATTTTTTATGAGGCATTTGTTTCGCTGACATCTCTTTTGTGGCCGGAACTCCTGTTCTGGCAAGAATTTCGGGCACAATCCTCAGGCACACAGACACACAGACACACAGACACACAGGCAAACACACACACAGAGGAGCCGTCAAAGGCATATTAATTCAGTTGTTGATAATCACTGACCATATTTCGTATTGAACTGCATTTCATATGCAAATCGCTGAGAGCCCATCTCCTCGTTCCGTATCCTCTGTGTAGCATATGTGTGTGTGGTGGCGAGAGTCACCTCATCCTCCTCCACCTCCTTCTCCTCCTCCTCCACCTCCTCCTCTTCCTCACCCTCCTGAAAGCCCCCCATCTTCTGCAGCTTCTGCTCGTTGGATGGTTCGCATTTTCCATGATTTTAATTAAGAAATGCCATGCCGGGGGGCCCATGCAATGCACATGCCTTTGCCATAAGACGGGAAATGCACTCAAGTGCAATTAAAGCCAAATTAAAATCAATAACTTTTATGGAAAAAATCCCCCCACATTCAGAGTTGTGTTGCAGTTGCAGTTGCTGTTGCTGTTGCTGTGGCTGCCTCGAGGGGTGGGCGTGGCAGGCATCAAACAGATTATGACACGCACGCCCGATAAAACTGCATTTCCTCTGTTGATTTACGCAATTGAGATATTTTTTCAGAATTCAATTTCTTGCATCGGGAAATGCGTTCAAAGTTGGGTGGGGAAATGGGTGGAGTAGCCACAGGAGATACCCTTTACTGAGGGATAAACCAAAATCGAGAACAAAGTAGTCAAATCCATCCTTCATTTAAAGGGATATAAAGTGGTGTAAGGTGATGAGGTACACGTTATAAGGTATGATTCCCTAAAGGAAACATTTAGCAAGAGCATTTTGTATAAAATGGAGGCCAGGCCAATACTTGGCAGCTATTTGGCAAGCTGCTAGTCTGCGGGGCTGTGCTCCGAGCACCTGGTAAATCCTACACTGAGGATACTGGAGGGTGGGAGAACAGAAGTGAAAATAAACTCAAATTTCCCCATACAAAGATGAAGTACATTGAAAAAAGGAATAATAGGGAATAATTGAAACACAACTATCGAAGAATCTTCCCAACCAAAAGTAGGTCCAATTAACCTATCCATATGCCCCATCAGTCCCTCAATCCGATCATGAATACCCCATAACTAAGGCAGAGCAGAGCATATGCATATATGAATAAAAATCACTCGTCCTCCTGCCTGCTCGACCACTTCCCATCGTTATCCCCACTTAAATGCAATCAGTTTTATGAACTATAGAAATATATTTGAACAGCCTGAACGGCCTTCAACACGGGCGTAGCCAGGACTTCGCGAAGGGGGCAACGGATTTCTTTCCATGCGTGATTTCTACGCATAATATAATAATGTTATACATACATATTTACATATATGTACATATGTATTACATATCGATTCGGGAAAACATATCAAGTAAATTAAGCAAAGACAATCTTTTTTTAATATTTAGCTTCCCCCTCCTTGGTACGCCTTTGGCCTTCAATCTTACCGCCCCAACCCCTCTCAACAGTCGCCCAATCAAGGCTACGTGCAGCATAATCGAAAAGAAATTGAATGAATCGAAATTATTGATAATTCAATCTTCATTTTCAATTTGTTTAAAGCAACAGAAAAACAAATGCCAAAATCGTTGGCAAATAAACGAGAAACGAGAAACGAGGAACGAGGAATGAGGGACGAGAATTCCACGATTTCCCAGCCATTTCCCCCAATCCATTTCCATTTCCCCCTTAGAGCTGTTTGTCTTTGCCTTTGTCCTGAGTTCCGAGTTCCGAGTCCTTTGTTTGGCTAGCATTTCATCGCATGTTTCTTCATTCTCTGGCATGTGCCTGTGTCCGTGTCTGTGCCGTCGTCCTTCAGGTGGTTCAAGGAGGAGAACGAGCAGCTGCTGCCTCTGCAGCTCAGCGAACGCATCACCATCGTATCCGCCGGATTGCTGAAAATCACCAAGGTGCGTAGGCTCTCCTCTACCTCCTCTATACCCAGAACGAAAAAGAGCCAGGAGGAAACCCCAGCCCCCTGCTGATTGCCAATTGATTTCATCCATTGCAGGCACGTCTCGAGGATAGTGGAAAATATTTGTGCTGGGTGAACAATACGGCTGGCGAGGAGACCATCCAAGTGTCGCTAACGGTGACAGGTGAGTGTGTCTGCCTGTGGGGGGAAAAGTGTGGTGAAGGATGTACAGCAGATAGATAAAGAGTGCGACTACCTTCTCCATACATTAACATCCCATATCTGCAGCTCCTCTGACGGCCCATCTGCAGCCACAGGTGCAGACGGTAGATGTCGATAAGGATGCGCAATTCCAATGCATTGTCTCTGGCCATCCGGTGCACGATGTGAACTGGTTGCACGATGGCAAGCCCATACTCAGGGACAATCGTGTGGAGGTAAGACACATTTCATATTCCACATTCCACCTTCCACCTCTCTCAGGCACAATCAATTAGTTCCCTTAACAATCATTCATCTATGCGCACAGATCCTCACCGATCCGCCACGTTTGATCATCAAGAAGGTGCAGAAAGAGGATCCTGGCATGTATCAGTGCTTCGTCTCCAATGAATGGGAACAAATCCAATCGACGGCCGAACTCCAGTTGGGCGGTACGTAATCATATCGATAACACACACATCTACTAATATATTTCCCATCGAGTTGACTATTAATAACCACTTATGACCGCACACACAACCGCCCACCGCACACCGCACACCTCCCCCTCCCCCTACTCCTACATCTCAATCAGCAGCGTAATTTCCTCCTCGAGAGTGAATGCCATTGCTTCTCTCTGTGCTGTAGAATGGCGACGGCAGACCGCAGACCGCAGACCGTAGACCGCACAAATAAATGTTTGTCATAATTGCATTTCATTATTTTCTAATTTAGCAAATTGCTAACATTTTTCAACGAGCCAGAGAGAGGATGCCACCCATAACAAATCACAGTGGAGCAACAGTAATAGCCACAGCAACAATGAGAGTAGAGGCTGCCTGCCCATAAAACGCAGCGACGACGACTTAATTTTATTACCAGCACTAAAAATCTAGCCGCACTAAACACTAAACACAGCGGGGGTGGGTGCCAGTGCCAGTGCTAGTGCCAGTGCCAGTGCCAGTGAGAGTGCCATGGGGGAAGCAGGATGTGGGTGGAGGAGAATGTATCGTTTAGCAGCCTTAGGGGCATACATACATACATATGTATATGTAGGGACAATCACTCGCACAGTAATACAGATGACAGAGCGGTTTATGCGTTGCCTATAGAGCGATTAAAAAAGATCGTTAAAGGAAGGAACGGTACCGATTACTGATTTCCGAAGATTTCCATTAAAAAGTATAAAATGAAGAAACTTTGGAAAATTAAATCCCACATGAAAGATACCATTATATTCTTTTGCCATTTGGTAATCAATTTATGTGCCCCCAATTCAAGTTTTCAGATACTTACACAGGAAAAAAGCATATGCCACTTTTCAATAAGGATATCTTCCATCAAACACCATGTCGCCGATTGAGCATTTCCACATTCAAATTGTTTCCTCTATCTGCAGTACTTCATCGCAATATCTCATCGCGTATAAACATAACAGCAGGAAAAGCAGCAGCAGCAGCAGCAGCAGCAGCAGCAGCAGCAGAAACATTCGCGCTTTGTCGCTTTGGCAACATTTCGTGATTTGCTTTTAGGCGCAAACGGAAATTGATTTCGATATATTATTGGCATGCTTCGCACACAGTTCAGTTCGTTGGTGCAGAGAAAGGGGGCGGTCTGCGGGCATAGGGGGTTGCGGGCTGCGGGTTGCGGGTTGCAGGGATAGCCAGGAAGAGGAAACGCTGCTTTCTTTTCGCCTTTCGGTGTTGAGAGCCCTCCCCTCCACCACCAGGATTCACACCACATGCTAGAGGGAAAACCCAAGCGCCATTAAGCGGCCGGATATGGCAGCAATTGTGTCAACGCTGCAGCTCTATGTGTGTGTCTGTGTGTGTGTGTGTGCCCGCATCTGTGTGAGTGAGCAAATAAATATGGCAGCTTATAACTGAGAATGTCAGGCGATGATATGCGATGACTATTCTAGCCGAAAAATCCATTGCATTGCGCCGAAAACGGAAATTGATACAATTTTCATCAGCTGGATAGCATTTGCTGTCTTGTCAAATGCATTTTCCGTTTCGCCTTGGAAAAGGAAAAGGATAAGGAAAAGCGAAGGGAAAGCCAAAGGAAAACGAATGGAAACTAAGGAAATGCGATGGTAGGGATACAAGTGCAAATGTGGTTTTGGCTCTGAGAGAAATGATTCAATAGAGAGATGGAGTGCTGCAGTGCTGCCGTGCTCCAAGTACTGGGAATCTGTGGGCGAACTGTTTGCAGATGGATATTTTGTGTTTAAGGATTTTAAAGAATGAAAGGGACTTCTCATCATCATAATGAAAAAGTGTAACCATCAATGCACACACATGGCACAGAGCAAAGCCTTTTTCCATCATTAATGAAACTTCTCTTCCTCTCTTCATTTGAGCAGAGTTCTAAACTCGTCTCTTTTCTCCTCTGCGTTCATTTCTGTTCATTTTAGATGCTTCACCGGAACTACTTTATTGGTTTTCGGAGCAGACGCTGCAGCCGGGACCGACGGTATCATTGAAGTGCGTTGCCACCGGAAATCCACTGCCGCAATTTACATGGTCTCTGGACGGATTTCCGGTAAGTTAAGCCACCAAACTCCGCCGCAAGTTGAGCCCCCATTTAGCATAGCCATAGTCATAGTCATAGCTATAGCAGGAGGCGGAAATGCAGGCAGGCAGCGTTTCCGTTTCCGCTGCTAAGAAGTTGCCATAGTGCCAAAATATTCGGCATCGAGCACAGCAAAGCACAGCACAGCAGGGCAGAGCAGAGCAGAGCAGAGATATTTGTCACAGTTACAGTTACAGTTACAGTTACAGTTACAGTCACAGCTATCGCAGTTCATCTCTGACTTCCTCTCTGGCCACCATTCGGCCCAAGCGAGAACATGCATAAATGTTTTAGGAACCAAAAAACCCCTCACAGAGCAAAACCCCTTGTTAGCCAGGGCTCGGCTCTAGTGCATACTTGGGATTCCCAAGCCTTTGGGTTTGCCCCTTTTGCCTTTGCTTTTGCTTTTTGGAGCACTCGAATTTTTCGTTTCTAAGAATTTCTCTTGCCTTTTTTTCCAAGGATTTGTTTCGTTTATTTGCATAAATTTTCATTTTCTTGGGAGCCTTTTTCCCCACTTCCACTTCTACTCCTACACCCTCTACACTCTCTGCTTCCCTCTCTTTTTGTGTGTTTCCTCTCAAGGCTTTCCACTTTTACGTAGTGCAAATTTTATGCAATTTCAATCAATTCGATTTACATGAATTTTTCATTTTACCTCCGCTTCAATCTGCAATCTGCAATCTGCTCTCTGATTTCACCAGCAACCGGAGAGAGTAGAGAGTAGAGAGCGGATAGTGGATAGTGGAAAATGTTTTGCTAATTGGCCCACTTTGATAACGTGTTCCTTTAACCACTCCACTCCACAGATTCCAGACAGCTCGCGCTTTTTAGTGGGTCAATATGTTACCATCCACGACGATGTCATCAGCCACGTGAATATATCAAATGTCAAGGAGGAGGACGGCGGCGAGTATACCTGCACGGCCCAGAATGCCATTGGCAAGTGAGTAGAAGCCATAGACATAGCCTCTGCAGCAGCAGCAACAGCAGCAGCAGCAGTACGAGCATCAGTTCCATAAATAAAACATATAGGCCTCCACTCCGATAAAAAGCATTTCCATGCTAAATCATAAATTTAGTTGTGGCATTGGGAAAAAAAAGAAGTAGGGACTGCAACTGGGAGTGGGAGTGTGCTGGTATTGTTTGCAGGCAGACGAGCGACATAAAATCCAAACAATGTGCTGAAGCAGCCGTAAGGCAACTGTTGGCAAGGGGGTTTTCAGATATCATAGTTAGGGATGGTAGACAGAATCATATCATGCACGAAAATTCCCCAACATTGATTTTGGTTAAAGCTTTAGAATGTTTTTCCTTTGGCTGTTACTGGCATTTACTAAGAGATAATCTCAGATTACGTATACGTAGATAATCCTCATAGATGATGGGATGGGTGATGTGTTCTCCGGGTTTGGGCTTCAGATGAAACTTTTAGCATTGTAGCACCAGTTTCAGATCAGGAATTAACATCGAGAACTTTGATGCTAGCTAAAGATTGATTATTTTAGAGTGCATTGCATTAGGTATGAATTTGAACTTGGTCTGAAAAATAAAACACGCTTCCATCTCCAGGTCGGCTCTAAAAATGTTCCTTTGTTCACATTTTTTTATGTACTCCCTTCCTTACTCGGATGCTCCAGGGTCTCGCATAGTGCAAAAGTGAACATCTATGGATTGCCTTACATACGCGAAATGCCAAAAATAACCGGGATCTCTGGTTCTGATTTGATTGTTAAATGTCCCGTGGCTGGTTATCCCATCGATAAAATACACTGGGAGCGAGGTAAGCATCACATACAGTATTATATCTTTATGCCCCTCTACTATATGTATGTATGTACATATATTGTAAATATGTATATTGTATATACCCGCATGACATGGCGATGCTTGCGATATACATATGTATGTATTTGGTTTCTTTTTTGGTCATTTCGTGATTTCTCTTTATGGTTATTTGCCTTTTGGCCAGAGAGTTGTTTGTTATTAAAAATGGTATGTTTGTTATTGCGCATATCAGTGAAAATTATTAAAAATACAGAATGAACGCTGCTTTTGCTTCTGCTTCTGCTACTCGTACGAGTATTCGTATTCGTACTTTTTTCTGACAGTCTGTTTTCCTTTGACTTTTTAAGCGAAATAAATTTAAAATATATATTGTTTTTTTCTATTTTTATTTGTTAATTATTATCTCCGTACGCAGTTGTCAGTGTGCCAGTGTGTGTGTGTGTGTCATCATAAATTCCTGTTTATTCTAGCTAAAAAGCACAATAATCATCACGGGGATCAGCTGGGGAGAGACAGAGGAATGCTCTTGGAAATGTCTGCATACCGGGTTGACGATGTTTGCCTAAAGCTGATAGTGTTCTGAAACAGAAAAGATACAAAGGGGGAAAGATAACTTTGAAGATGTGTATACATTGTATTGTATATAGACAGAATAGGTGTATAGACAGCTAGCCAACCATATTTAAATGAAATATTCCGTGTTTAAGCACTTTAAAATAATTTAATTGATGCAGTTCCATTTTAATATTAGCGCTTTCAAGGCTTTTCCTCTGGATTTAGGTATATAGACAGATGTATGAGTGATCGGATAGCTATGTATATATAGGTATGTATGTAGCTGGGAAGAATGAGTTATAGATTAATCGAGCGATCGATGAACCGATAGAAAAATAGATGAGATTTGTTTATGAGTACAGATAGATATATTTGTATGTGTTCCTAGATATATCTAACTCTAGACGAATGTGCGTACGTGAATATCCAGATCCAGATATTTATTTCGATTTATGGCAATTTATTTAGGACTTTTAAGCTCTCCGCAAAAGTGGGTCGTTCTGTTCTGGCCTTTTGTGAGTGTGAGTGTGAGTGTATGAAAATAAATTAAGCTCGCAAAAAGAAAAAAAAATTCAAAAGTGCCATATAGCCATAAAGTCATAAATCGCATAACTTTGTTTTATGTGAGTCCCCAAATTAATTGCCAACGCCTTGCCACGCTCTCTTCCTGCCTGCTGCTCCTGCTCGGGCTCCTGTGGCATCCTGGTCTCTTCTTCGTTCCGGGAAGATGGCCAAACGTTGCCCATAAATCGCCGACAGCGTGCCTACAACAATGGCACCTTAATTATCGAGCAACTGCAGCGCCTGGAGGATGCGGGCACGTACACGTGCATGGCACAGAACAAACAGAAGCAGACCTCGCGGCGCAACGTGGAGATCCAAGTGCTGGGTGAGTACTACACGACTAGTACTAGTGTGGCTCTGGCTCTGCTGTGGCTTTGGCAAAATGTTTTCCCAATATTTAAAATTAGAAAGTGGCCGGAGAGAGGGAGAGAGCTCTATCCTCTATACGGAGATGCAGCTGCCGTCGGAGCCGTCGGAGCCGTCGGAGCCGTCGAAGCAGTGTAGCCGTGGAGCCGTTGTCGGAGCTGGAACTGCTACAATGAAACTATTCCAATTAGACTGGCGAAACGAAACTATGCAGCCGCAACAGCAGCCACAGCCACAGCCACAGCCGGCAACTATTTTCCCAGTTAATGCACATGCAGGCGGTGGTTGGATGGATAGTGGGTGGCCAGCCCCGCAGACCCACAATGGAGTCATTGACTTTTGTGTTCTGTCTGCGACGGTTCTGCTGCCTCCACGTTTCACTCTTTATAATAATTTACTCGACTGCAGAAGCATTGGCTGCAGCAGTGGCAGCAGCAGCTGTTGCTAAGCCGCAAGTTGCATTGATGGTGCCGCGCCCCCGCCCCCGCCCAAGCCCCCGCCCCAGCCTCCGCTGTCACTGCCACTAACAGTCGCATCCTTGATTATCAGGCTCTCAGTGGGTTTTGTGCTTAAGTCAACTACTCCGGCAATTGTAAATGAGAAATGTTGCATGGTTTATGGGTTTATGGGTTTATGGTTTCCTCATGGATTCATCCCATCCACAGTGCCACCGAAAATTATGCCCATCCAGGCGATGACGAACATGCTGCGAGAGGGGATGCGAGCGGCCATCTCCTGCCAGATCCTGGAGGGAGATCTGCCCGTCAGCTTTCGCTGGGAGCGTAATGGCAAGCCCCTGATTGGAACAGGGTGAGTCTTTCGGACTTTTAGAAAAATGTATTCCTCCGAATCTGCAGCTCTATCACTCCTTTTCTATCACCCCAGCAACGAGGTATTTCGCCGTTTGGATGAGTACTCTGCCAGCCTCGTCATCGAGCACATTACCTCGGATCACTCCGGGAATTACACATGTATCGCTGGCAATGTGGCGGGCACCGAGCGCTTCACTGTGCCCCTGACCGTGAACGTGCCGCCCAAATGGATATTGGAGCCAAAGGACTCGAGTGCCCAGGCGGGGGCTGATGTCCTGCTGCACTGCCAGGCCTCTGGCTATCCCAAGCCCACCATCACCTGGAAGAAGGCCATTGGACCAACGCCAGGCGAATACAAGGACTTCCTGTACGAGCCCACCGTTCAGCTCTTCCCGAATGGCACCATCTACTTCAAGAAGATCAGCAAAGAGTCGCAGGGGCACTTTCTGTGCGAGGCCAAGAACAACATTGGCTCTGGCGTCAGCAAAGTAATCTTTCTCAAAGTGAACGGTGCGTATAGAGTGAACCCAGTCCTCCCAGCCCTCAGTCTCTGTATTCTGTATGCATATGTGTATCTTCTCTAGTGCCCGCTCACTTTCAAACGAAAACGAAACAAATCTCGGTGGCCAAGGGCAAACAGGTCCATGTGCAGTGCAATGTGCAGGGCGACAATCCCATCGACTTCAAATGGAAAATCCAGGCAACGCAACAGTATCTTGACGAGTCGCTGGATTCACGGTAAGAGTGGTGTGTTTCCCTCTTCCCACTTCCCACTTCCCTCTCTCCTTCCCCCTCCCACCGAATCTAGAGCCGGGGACTACTTTCCCCCATTCCTACGATGTCTGCGTGTCTGGCGAAATCAATTCCAAGTCGATTGCAAACAACAAATTGCTTTTAATTAAAAGAGTTCTCTGTCGGGGGTTTCGGTTTGTAGCGACTGCAATTGGAACTGGGATTGGCATTGGGTTTCAGATTGGAGCTTCAGATTGGAGGAATGGAACTGGGGGCCAAGGTCTAAATCAAATTTTGCCAGGAGTGAAAATGCGTCGTCGCCATGTGTGTGGTGTGTCTCATATGTCTCCTATTCTTGAAATGAGAATGGGATTCAGAACTTTGATATTGATATTCCGAGATTTAATCAATGTTTTTGTGCCAGTCGTAAAGATGGCTATGACTTCGGCTTGCCGTTGGTCATTTTCACTAGCGATTTTACTTTTGGATAGCCTGAGAATCCGCTCTGGTTTTCCTCCCACTTGTGTGGGTACTACATATTTGTGTATCGTAAGTGTTTTAATGTATGTGTATTTCCGGCTTTCTCTTTTCTTCATTCCCCTCTCCTCTGCATTACGACACTCCACCTGCCACATGCCACCCGTGCCCATGCTCGTGCCCGTGCCCGTGCCCGTGTGCCTACCGCCTTCTGCTCGACAAACAACAACTGAATGCATGCGCGCTGTATTTATATATGCCATTTGTACACGCACACTGTGTGTGTGTGTTCTTGTGTGTGCGCGTGTGTTTCGGCCTCGTACGTCTTCGTCTTTGTCAACAAAACTACAACTAAAAAACTGAAAAAACTACAACAACTACAACAACTGGGACGGCTGGTACTGCTGCCACTGCTGTGACTGCTGCAACGTGGAAAACATTGTTATAAAATTGCATTGCACCGCTCACGTTGCGCAAACACGTATCCACCGTACACATCCGTACGTATCCTCGTATCCTCGTATCTCTCGTATCCTGGTATCTGCTTCTGGGCCATCGTTTGCATGTGTCGTCGTTGTATCTCTTAAATGCATTTACTTGCATATAAATCACACACACACACACACACACAGCTACACAATAAGAGATCAAGTGCTCGACGATGGCATGGTCTCCGAATTGGGCATTTCGCACACATATCGCCAGGACACGGGCATTTATATCTGTCAGGCGAGCAATGCATTCGGACAGGTAAGTCAGGACACAGCTCCAGAGCCAATACGAGAACCAGACCGAGAACCAGCAACATCAGCAGAGATGTGGAATTGGGAATGGGAATGGAATGAGGCTGACTGGCACTGCCCTCTAAGTGATATTATTATGCATCGAATTGTCTTTAATCAAACTGTTGCTCTACTACCGCCGAACGTATAGAACGTATAGAACGTATAGAAGTGTAATAAATCACATCTCCTCTATTCAAGCGGAAAGTCTGCTCCAAGTTGCCAGGCTCCCAGTCCAATCCCATCTCGCATTTCTGTTGACCCTGCAGCAGGCTGCAGTAGCTGCTGTCATGTCCGGCGAAGAGTGGGTTACTTACGTGGGTTACTGTATATACGCTTTCAATTCAATCCAAACAGGATGAAATGTCCATTCAGCTCATTGTCCAGGAGGTGCCCGAGCAGCCGAAGAATCTTCGCATCAACTCGCAGCAGTCGCGCAGTCTGCAGCTCACCTGGAGCCAGCCCTTCGCTGGCAACAGTCCCATTGAGGAATATCACATTTACTACAAGCAAATATCAGGTGGGAACAAATTTTCAGTCCTCTCCATATGAATTCCTCACTATTTAAAAAAGTTTTTGTGACAGATATTTGGCAAAATGCCGAACACATCACCATAACGGGTGCCCAGACGGTGGTCAACATCCAGCAGCTGCGTCCCGCCAAGGCCTACCACATACGCATGTCGGCGGAGAACAAGCTGGGGGCCTCCGAGTTCTCCGAAGTGGTGCAGGTGACCACCCTGGAGGAGGTGCCTTCGGGGCCGCCGCTGGCCGTGCGAGCCGAGGCCAAGAGCTCCACCGAGATCTCTGTCAGCTGGGATGCACCTGAGCGGGATCACTGGAACGGCATCCTGCTCGGCTACTATGTGGGCTACCAGATGTCGCTCACGCCCGAGGACAAGGAGGTCAATCCCACGCAGGGTTTCAGCTTCAAGACCGTGGAGGTGCGCTCCCATTTCGGCGGCGAGACGGTCCTCAGCAACCTGAACAAGTTCACCCAGTACCATGTGATTGTCCAGGCCTACACCAGCCAGGGCAGTGGTCCTCCCAGCAAGGAAATTGCCGTCCAAACAATGGAGGACGGTAAGAGTCGGGTGGGAAATGGACACGGACACAGACACGGACACAGACACAGACACGGACACGGACACGGACATGGGGCTGTGGTCCGGTCTGGTCTGGTCTGGTCTGCCTGCTGGCATACATTGATTGGATTTGTTAATTGCCCGTGCACAAAATCTGACCCCAGACCAGGTCCAGTCCCCAGCACCAGCGGAGAGCGGAGTTTGGGGTTTGTGGGCGCCCTGCAGTCTGGGGAAAAACGTTTAATAAACTTTTCCCTCTCATTTATCCCTCCCTCCCTCGTTGAATCGCCTTGCAGTCCCCTCATCGCCGCCAGAGTCGCCGCAGTGCGATGTGCTCGGCTCCACATCGATTTACATCACCTGGTCACCGCCGGACATTGACGGACAAAATGGCAAAATCAAGGGCTACAAAGTGTTTTACATATCGATCGATGAGCTCTACGGTAAGGTGTTAATTTTTTTAACTTTTTCCTACCTTCCTGCATACTTGATATATGAGTTCTGAGTATTCTTTTGGGTTCGAGCTGCGAAGATATACATATATAATATACCCTTGCCAAAGGGTCAGTGATAGCAGAAGCTTTCAAGTTGGACTGCCAGTCGAATACGACTATGACTATTCGATCAGGGCTAGTAGATACACATATGGGCAAGGAAATGAATTAGCTATATATCTGGCAAATATCAATTTATTTGAAAGAAAAGAAGACTGAATATCAATCAGAAATATTAACTTATCCACGAGGCACAAAAGCTGTCCAAGTTTCAGCCAACATGAACATCTCTCAACTCGAGCTACGTGACTCGGAATCGCCCATCTGAACATCTGCAGAATAACCCAAGTGGCACTAGGATTTTGCTGCATTTATGCATCAGCATCAGTATCAGCATCGTCATCATCGACCATTGTGTCGATTACGAGCGCTGTGGAATGTACTTTGGCATTCCGGAGTGTTATGTGGCCAGCTTCCTTCTTCCTTCTGCGATTTATGACACTTTTCAATTAATTAGCCCACTTCGTGGCCCTCATATTTCCAATCAGCGCTAATTGTTCTCGTTCTCGTTTCTGTATCCCATTCTCGTATCGCGTACACATGCTCAGAGACCGATCCGGAGGTTGTCAAGTCAACAAATCAATACGTCACCATCGAGAATCTGCGCAAATACACAAACTACACGGTCTGGGTTTTGGCTTACACCAAAGTAGGCGATGGCATGAAAACCAAACCGTTTTATTGCCGCACCCACGAGGATGGTAAGTGGCATTCGGTTCAATGAACGCAAACGAGGTGCGGCATCGCCACCCCCATCCCCCATTCATGCAACAAGCCCCATGCCCCATGTCGATGTCATTGCCTCGGTTGCAATTTTCATGAGCTTTATATATTCATGCACATATATTTATTTCTGACGCCTTTCATTGCAATCGTGGAATGGAATGCAGTGCCCTCCGCCCCGCAGGCAATCAAGGCGATACCCGCCTCCAGCACGAAAATCATCATATCATGGCTGCCCCCGGACCTCCCCAATGGTGACATCGTAAGTAGACAATCCCCTGCCTCTGGCCCTACCCCGCCTAATTAGGCGACAGTTGAAGGGCCCCCCTCATCATTCATGGTAGAGCTGCTTGCTCTAAGACCTCTCACACCATCCGTTTCCCTTTGCAGACGGGCTACACCTTTTACATGTCCATGCTGGAAGGTGGCCGAGAGGAGGGCACCCACAAGAGACTGCTAGGACCCTATGTGGAAATGCACGAGACGGTCCGCACCCAGGAGTCGGCCACGTACCAGTTCTGGCTCACCGCCTCCACGAAGATGGGCGAGGGCGAGAAGACGCAGGTGGTGACAGTGCCCCCAAACAACAAGGTGCCCGCTCGCATTGTGTCCTTCAGCCAGAGGATTGTCACGCCCTGGAAGGAGCACCTGGAGCTGCCATGTCGCAAGGTGGGGGCCCCGGCGCCGGTGACAATCTGGCGACAGGATGGCCACAACATGGAGACGAGTGCTCGGAAGACCATTGCCAAGAACGGGACACTCTACATGAAGGAGTGCCAGGCGAGTGATGCGGGCAACTACACGTGCAGCGTGGAGAACACCTGGGGCAAGGACGAGATAGTGTACAACATTGTGGTGAAGGTGCCACCCGAGGCACCCAATTTGACGGTGATCAACGCCTACACGGACAGCCTGCACCTGGAGTGGATGGACAACAGCCATGGGGGCAGTCCCATACTAGGCTACGTGATCAACTACAAGCGGGACAACGGCGACTGGGAGGAGCTGCAGGTGGATGCCAAGACCAATTCCCATCTGCTCAGCAATCTCTGGTGCGGCACCCGCTACCAGCTCTACATTACAGCATATAATAAGATCGGCACCGGGCTGCCCTGCGACATTGTCAACTCTTACACCAAAGGCAATCCACCCGTACAGCCGAAGCACTCGCAAATGATCACCAACAACTCTACAAGCGTGACCTGCTGGCTGGACTCCTGGGGGGATGGTGGCTGTGGCATCCTCTACTTCATGATCGAATCGCGTGTCTATGGTAGATCTTCTTGGAATGTGGTATCCAATCATATCCCTCCCACGGAAAGAATCTACACGGTCAGCGACCTAATTCCCGGTACGAAATATCAGCTGAAGGTGACGGCCCACAATAATGCGGGATCCACGACAGCCATTTACAACTTTACCACGCTCTCCCCTCAAGGAGGTATGTCTCAGAACGGTGATCATCACTGAGCGGTACCTCCATTACAAACTCACCTCCTTTCAGTTCTCTACAACAACGATCACTCCACACCTGTCTCCCACCTGAGCGATCTGCCATTCTATGCGAACTTCAAGCTGCTGCTTCCCATCTGCGTCTCCCTGCTTATGCTGCTGGCCCTCATCGGAGCTGCTTTGTTTCTTCGCAAGAGAAGTATGTCCGGGTTGGAGCTCTATAAGCGACAGTGACTAATAATTGTAATCTCCGACAGAACTCAACAACCAGGCCCGCCTGGCCAGCTCTTCTATGTCAGAGTCCCCATCGCTGGCCAACCTACAGAACAAACAGAACCGAGATCAGCAGTATCTGGCAGTGCGTTGCAATCCGGGCCCTTCGCAGCCCCGTGGCTCCAACTCCAACGATTCGGGCAGCTTTGGCAAGGCGGAGGGCAACGAGTACATCGAAGATATCTGTCCCTATGCCACTTTCCAGCTGAACAAACAGACCTACAGTGAGAGCTCGTACAGCGGCAATGTCTACAGCGGTCCGTACCATTCCGTGCGCGGATCCTTTGTCTACCACGATGTCAAGCCGGAGAGCTATCATGTGAGTGAATGTGGGGGCTTATGAGCTAAGGAGTATTCTTAATGCAGAATTTAATCCATCTGCTCTAGTCCAAGGAGCCGGAGTACACAAAGGTGCGCCGAAAAGTGGGCCGCCTCCGAGATCCCCATTCGGAGAGTCAAGGTATGGATTCATTGTCATTTCCTCTCTCTCGTATCACTGCCCATGCCCACATTCCCAGCCAGGTTTAGCTTTAGCTTTAAGCCAAATTTAATCATTATTCGCCACCTCATATGATCATCCCCCATGATCCGTTGTTGTCCTTATTTAACTCATCTCTTTCTCATTGCTCTCAACGTTCTCTCCATCCCACACATTCAAACCAAACCAAACCTCATCTCGAAAAACAAACCAACAAACAACGTACAACTCCATCGATCGTACTAAACTTTTAGAATCGGACAATCCAGGTTCCACAGATTCCGAAGTTAGGAAAATCCTAACGCTTCACATACCAATTACAGAATATGACACACTCGGCTCCGAGTCCGACAATGATGTGTCTGCACGCGCTCTAAACTCGGCCAAGTATCGCGCCCAACGCGGTGAGTGCTTGTCTGCGTCCTTGAATCGCCCAATTTACAAATCGATCCTTATTACTGCCATTAGATACCCAAGATGAGACCTCATCCTCATCGGAGACCACACCCACAAGCATGACCCGGAAGTCAAAGCCTCCGTTTGCAGCCCGAAAGCCGGGAAAGCCCGGCACCAGCGGCAAGCGACACGTGCGAAGTTCCAGCGGCTATTCGAGCCACAATGAAGAAACTACTTTTAGGTAAGCCAGCCATCGTCCCGAGTCGAATATTAGCTGTTTCCGCTATATGTAGTACATAATTAGAACCCTGTACGTTTAGCATATCCAACTATCCACCAAACTATCAGGACCACATAAATCCACCAGCTCGTTTTTCGGATGCCAACGAGAAATCAAAGACACAGACGTCGCCACGTATGCGTGCCAATCAGAAACTACAGCGGGAAGCCTTCCAGATCAATGTCTAAGGCCCTAAAGAATGAATGGATCTAGTTTTAGAGATAATACTTATATATATATATATATATATATATATATTTATATATATATATAATTATTGAGGATCTGTATAAACGAATACAAATAATTGCGTAAACGAACCGAAAATTGTAAAATTTGTTGTAAAATCCACCCAAGACAAAACAGACTTTGGCGCCCACTTCCAAAACTAAACTTAAAATAACTTACAAATCCAATGCAACAAATATCTTTCAACTATTTACAACAAGAAGAACAAACAATACAAGCAAAATGGCAGCAAGAGACAGAAAGGAAAACGAATATTAGAAATTTTCGAGTGGATTTTGATTTTCAACGAACGATCAGATCAGAAATAGCACGAAAAATAAACCATAAGACTTATTTACACACAGATTATGCTTAGTTGAACTTGCGTAAAATAAAAGCTGCATGAATATAAATGAGTATTATATATAGCCAACGTACATGTACGTACATCTAAAATAAGTTTATGCAGAACAGATATAATTAAATTAAAATAAAATAATGTTATAGATCCTAAATTAGGCATTTAATGTATGAGAAGAAAAGGAACTGCGGCAGGCCGCAGATCAGAGAGTGCTCTGCAGACAGCCGCAAGAAATGAAACGAAACGAAACGAAGGTAGAACGAAATAGAACCATGGCAGAGCATGATCAAGTCGGATTAAACTTATATGTATTGTAAAACTTAACTATAAGAAAAGAGCCTTTGTGCTAACTGCAGAAATTCTTTGCATTTGTAGTAAATTATAAAATTATGAACATTTCGTTGAACTGAATTGTTTGTTTAACCCACTTTTTGCGTCAGTTTGTAAGTGTACTTGACAACTGTTAGCTAGTTATTTAAATGAATTTAATTGATTTACGGGAGAAATACAATACAATACAATATATGTAATACCGAATGCATTCAGATAGTTTATGAAACTGTTGTAAATAGCTAAGCGTCATACAATTAATTCTACACAAAGCGTACGAGTATTATATATTGTACGAATAACAACATAAATGTTAGTGGAAAATACATTACAAAACAAAGCCAAAGTCGTAAACCAGCATGCATTTCCACAAGCCGAATCTAAGCAGCCGCTCAAAAGACATCTACTAACTACGGAAATACTACGAAACTAACACAGAACCCAGGCCGATAAAAGATATAGCCGAATATTTGCCAAACAGACAGAGAGACAGACAGACACCGACACTGCTCCTGTACCATACATGCGATTATAGTGCATCTATTTTCCAATAGCTACAACGACAAAACCAGCAACCAAGCAAACAATACATGACAATATGACACAAATACATAAATACGCGTACATATAAAAATACATTAACGAAAAAGAATAAAACCAAAGATCATGGATAAAAACTTATAAAGTTGAAGTTGAATTAGCATTGAGAACAGAAAAAATTTGGCAAAGGCAAAAAACTCTTCAGACTGCACTTAAAACGAAATGAAAAAAAAAGCTAACCTGTAGCCATTTACTTGGTTGTAAATTGATTCAAACGTTGCGGAATTAAAACTCTTAAGCATAAACCAGTTGTAAAACTACACACTAAACCGATTCTTCTAAAAGAGCACAACAGTTTATGTACATTGAAATGTGAAAAACAATGAAAAACTTCAAGGCAAAATACATGACATGACTTATGATAAAAACCAAAGCAGAAATTGGCCTTTCCTTTACTTTTTTGTTTGTTTCGGAGATAACAAATTATCGCATTTATTTACACTTGACCGTTGAGTAAAACAGATGTGATTGCGGGATTTGCATTAGATATGGTACACCAGAAAATACAAAAAAAAGGCCTCCTTACACACTACTTCTATTCGGACCTTATCTCCCACATCCTTGTTTGCAATAGTTGCACTTAAAGCATTTTCATAAAGATATACACATGAAAAATCTATAGTTTTCGGAACTAGAGCTATACAATAATTGTGTTTCACTTACACGTAACTTAGGGCTAGACACAGGATACATTAAATCTTAGTAGTGGTTTTTTTGAATTGCAAAAGGATGTTTACTCTAACATTTCGTTTACACATTTCGAACACACATAGGAGTACAGAAAGAGACGAACACTCGTAAAACTCAGCTTGTTAACATGTATAAAATTTAAGCTGGAGTTGGGTTTGGGTTTTTCGGATGTAGCAAAAACGATTCCAGAGGGGGCTTATCTGGTATCTTAAGGAATAACTCTAAGCTAAATACAGGATACGATTCAACTTTGATTGATTTTGATTGCTTTGTTGCTAATGGCAAATATCAGAACATAATGGGCTTGTCCTTGCACTGGTCTATTACATAGCCGGTGAAGCGCTTTAGAAACTTGGGATACTCGCGCTTGTACACAGCACGCAGAGCACTCGCCGGCGCCCAGCCACCAGGATTCACTAAAAATTTCAGTAAGCCAATGATTTAGAAAGATATCATTCGATATAGATAGTGATAAACATACATACCCACAGAGCAGTAGGTTATTTTGCAGGTTAAATCTTTGCGATTCAACGGCTGACCCTTGACATAGTCATCGGGCAAGTGGGTTTGGCAGGCCAGTATGACGGTGAGGAAGATGCGCACGCATTTGCCATTCTTAGACTCTTGCTTGGCATACTCCGTGGAGTTGTTGCACACCACCCACATGTCCCGGGCCCCCGGCTCGAGGTTGTCGGTGATTTTGCGCATATGCGACCAGAACTGTGCATCGCGCTGGCTTGCCGGCCAGATGCGTTTGTGGGTTTGCAGAAAGAGCAGCGTGTCTGCTGAGATTTTCTCCAGAATTGTGCAGTCCTCCAAGGTGGCTTTTGGATGGAAAATCATAAAAAGAATTCGAATTGTTTTGGAGCACAATATGAACTGCAATACTCACTTTCCCAATCATTGCGGAATTCGGGCATAAAGAAGTAATGGCACATTTCACGAGCAGTCACACCATGCACAGAGTGATAGGCCTTTAGGGGATCCATCACCAGGCCATTGACCTCTTCCTCGCGTTTGTACATTTTAATTTCCCCCTCGTCCGCAAAGATTTGCCACCCATTGCCATCCTGGCCGACACCCTCGCGTGCATAGTGCAGTTGCTCCTTGCAAACGCGATCAATCTGTGAGAGAAAATTCAATTACTGACTCGATTATCCGAATCCATCGGGTGCTAGATGGTAATTTCCTGCCTTACCTCGGGCCACAGGGTATGGCACTTCGCCTCTGCACCAGTGCCGAACTCCTCGCGTGCCTCCTCACCCTCGGCCACCGCCTCGTGAGGCACATTCACCAGTGTCTGTGAAATTTGAGACTGCAGTTTCAGTTTGAAGCGCAGCTGCATGTCCTCCTCGATTTTGTCCAGGCCCGTTTCAACAGCATCGAAGAACTCATCCTCTGGTAATGTGGAATGTGGGCCCTCCTGCAAGAGACAGTAGAAGTGACATCTCGATTAGCAAGGGGCGCGGTTCAAGTTTATAAAACAAATTTTTAAAGGTTCGGCCCAATTAATTTTAATGACGAAACCACCTCCTTCAGTCCAATTGGAATGAAATGAAACGTGCTTCGTATAAATTAATGGGCAATACTTGTGTTGTCAAATGGTAGAGTATGGTTTTTATGTTGTTTTTTCTCTAGAAGTTTTTGCGTTTGCGTCCCTGACCAAACAGCAAGCGGAGATTCTCGGCTGGCATGCGTAATTGAGCGAGCATAATCGCCACAAAGGCGCATCATTGTGCCATGAATACCCAAGCAGAAGGCTGTCTGGAGTGCTGAATTGTACAGTGAATTATCTGAAATGGGACACACTCTGAGATTGTGAAATGGAACTAGAAATTTTGCTAAATATTGAACAACTTATATGCGGAAAGGGAAATAATTTCATGGGGTCGCTTTGGTATAGTATAGGCCTCACTGTACTCCCATTATGACGTCTATAGACGAGACGCGTGTTTACCCAGTACGGCAACAGGCGCGGAATAAATGCTATGAGTGGATTCTTTGGAAATAAATTGATATTTATTAATTAATGCAGACATGTGCGCGCCACAGAGGCGATAAAATAAGCACACCCCCAATAGGAGGAAGGAAGCAAGTGCATCGTGCATCGTGCATCGGCAGCCACAAGCAAATTAAGAATCTAATCGAATTGTTAAACTATGGCGTCGGATTGTCTTCTCTTACCAGACTCCCTCTCCTCCTCCTCCTGCTTTTGTAGCCCTATAATATTGTTAAATATACTGTTGTACTTGGAAGACCACAGAAAAACCACGAACAAAATAACTGTATTTAAAGCGCGCGAAGTTTTCTTTCTTTTGGGGGAGAGAGCAAGCAAGCAAGTGAGAGAGATAGAGAGAGAGCATGGAGCGAAAACGAGCGGACGAGCGTCCAAGCAAATCCTTCCGCTTAGCGCAAGGACACGAAACAAACTGTTGCTTTTTCCCAACTCAAAAGCCCGTAAACGGGCCAAAGTCAGAGAGGGAGAGCAGGCAACTGCCAGCTGTGGTGGTGAGAGAAAAGCACTGAAAAGCTTTAATCAAAAGGATTTGCTCGTATTTAAATAATAAATCAATGTGTGGGTGGTCTAGAGAGGGATTTGGAAAGAGCACTCCTGATGGGAGGGTCAGGTTGGACCCACAAATGAGGGCAATTAGGTTTTGAAAGCAAACGCCGCCAACGTTTCATCTTTCGTTCCCGAAAAGCGGAGCGTAGCAGAATGTATTTAGCACCTACCGTAATTTTGGTGACTTTTCCATTCTGAAAGCCAGAACGCCAAAGAAATCGCACCGAGGGCATTTGCACTTTTGTTTGCGAGTATATTTTGGTTCGTGCTGCGATTTTAGATTTGATTTTGGAGGTACCCAAACGACACGTTTGAAAAACCAACTTTTTTCAATGCAACTAAAAAAGTTTCACAATCTGCATACAGAAATTAAAACCACGACAAATATGAAGAAGAAACTGTTTTGGTTTTCGTTTCGTTTTGGTTTGGGTTTGAGTTTGTTTGCGCG